TACATTTACTTCGTAGATCAGATAGATACCGAAAGGAATGGAGACAGAAACGAGAAATGCGACACGCGTGAGAATCATGGCCGTCATTTGTAGATCGAGTCGCCGTCGAACTATTGGAACTTGACGTCGTATAATACGACGTACATTTCGATAAGCAAGCGCACTGAATATCGAGGAGATCACTAGCGGCAGGATACCGTTGAGGAACAACAGATAACCGATGGAAAAGTATAAACGAAAAGCTTTGTTCGAAATATCACACCCATTCGTGAGCAATCTTTCGTAGAAAATTGTGAATGGGATGCTATGTAAAAGCCAAACAAGCACATTGATAAATGTGAGACGTTGAGCCAGTTTTAATGTACTCTTTCGACGAAGAGAAAATTCATGACTGGTCGCTAGATATTGATCGATGGCTTCGAAACAAATCGTAGTCAGAGAGGTTAATACAGATATTTCAAGCAGTGTTGACCGAATTTTACAGATGATAATTGAGCGACCCAATAGATCGATATTGGACCCGTACAAAAAGATACGAAATATGAAGATATTCAACAGTACACCACAGTCCGCAACGGATTCTACGATCAGATAAAAAGCAGACTGATTACCCCGGAATATTTTCAAAAATGCGAAGATAATGATACTAAATATATTGCCTATGAGTCCACCAATCATGGAAATATAACTAGTATATAGTATCAATTGTTGAGAAACATATACAATCGTTTGAGAGATGAATAAAATAGATTCACTCATTGTGTACGGAGACTTTGCTTTTTGCAACAATTACCAGCTTAAAAAAGTTTTTACTTTGCTGTCTTTTGATATTTAATATGCTCCTTTAGCTCTTTTTGATTTATAAGGAAGTTTGACGAGAAACATTAGTTCAGAGTTCTAATTGGCAGAGCGGTCTTTATCAGTTCTCTTTCTTTTTTGTGGATGCAGACGTATATGTCTTTTTTTTTCTTCTCGTTCACGTTCGCAAAGAAGCAAGCGAACAGATAGAGATCGCTCTGTTGGTTACAATTCTGCATCAGTTATTTGCTGATATTTTGTGAATGAGTATGTCAGACGTCAAGGATTCTTCTCAATTACATATTCAGCATAGTGTAAAACAATCATGACATCATTCGTTCAAGCATAGATTTTTATATAATCGTTTTCTCGTGTCCACATAGCATGATTAATTGGACAGTGTTAGATTTTCATTCTCGATATCTATATGGAAGGATGGAGTTTAACCTATTATTTCATGAGATTTTTCGAATGATGTTTTCTGAAAAATGCATGCTTCTTGGAGCAGATCTGTTGATACATTGTTACAAGCAAAAAGAACGTATATAAGATTCTTGATAATATAAAACGAAAGTACTTCATAAGAGTAATTTCATTGTTTATCGACGTTGTCAATAGAATCACGAAAGAAGCTTTATCCTTTGCTATTTTGAAAAAAAACTTCTGACTCCCTCGCTCCCCTCCTCCAAATAGAAGATCATGGTCTTCTATTGTGGAAATTCACATCATGTTTCTTTTGAGTAGCCTTCTAATATGGCTTTTACGATAAAAACTTACTATTTATTTTCGATATTTGCTGCTCTTGTTTTTCTAGCTCAGCAGGTCAAAATTGAAATGTGTCGTGGTTTTTAAGTTACTGATAATGATGAATTAGTTCGAGTGACTTATTTTCAAACTATGATGCCTTTTTTTTTCATTTCATTTCAATTCATATAGTTTAGTTTCTTTAAATCAAAGACATCCTTAATTACCATGCGGCTCAATTAATATTCTCTTCATGTATTTCTTACTTTGAACTATTATAGTTTGCTTTTTGATTCAATAATGAGCATATAGAAAGAAATTATGGACTACACTCCATTGGATGAGATATTAATCATTAATAACAAATAATCAAAAATACATCAGAAATAAAAAGCTTTTACCAGTTTTTTCAATATGTTGCGACTATAAAAATAAATTAAAAGAAATGATTATATATTCTGATAGATCTTTTCAAACTCTGTTGCCTTACATATTTATCTTTAGTCTTGCCTCTGTCTATTATATAAAATAGTTAACTACATTGAACACGTTCTCATTTGGCGAGGATACAAATCTGCATTTTTGAATTTTTCAAATTATTTTTACTATGGAAATAAAGGCGCATAAAAGTAATTATAGATTCTGATAATGCTTCAATTGCTCTATCAACCAATATGTTTATATGTTGTCTGGCGATAGTCCACTACAGAAAATAAATTGAAGACAATAATAGAAATGTATAGGATGATGGAAAACTGCACGCGCTATCAAAATATATAATTGCTTTGTAGAAACTTTCCGCTATAGGAATCATAATTTGAAAACAAGAATTAAAAAAAGTAGCTAGAAAAGTGCAGATTTTCATTTTTACCAAATAAGCATTTAGTGAAAAGAAATAGCATTTTTTTTTCTGATGTATTTTTAGTTGTTTGACTTTTATTTGTTATTAATGATTAATATATCATCCGATTGCAGTGTATTCTGTACTTTCTCTCTATATACTCATTATTGAAAAAAAGCAAACTATAATAGTCTAAAGTAAGAAATACATAGGGGACATATCAATTGAGCCGCAGGTAATATATATAGAAACTAAAAGAGAAATCGATGAAAACCATGGATAATCTCGCAAAGTATCAATATATTTTTGAAATTAACACAAAATACTTATATAATTTCCAAACAACTTATTTGAAAGACATGGCCTTCTATTCAGAGGATTTACTTGAAATATTTACAGAGTGAGAACAGACCGAATTTCTAGCCCATGTAGCCATAAAACATATTTTTGACGCGTTTAAACGCGTCTGGAATTGAAACAGCCTCCAAACGCATTGAAATGTGTCCATCATATGGGTGTTTGAACGCGTTGCAAAGTATTGCATGCGTTCAGAGGCGTTTCGTGACTAAAACTCATAACAACTGATTTACATTAGTTTGTAAACGCGTTTTAACGCGAACAGTTTTATTTTTGCAGCGGAATGCGTTCAATACTGGAAATAATATTAACTTAGACACGTTTCAATGCAATTGCTTTTACTTTTGCATCCGAACGTGCTTACGCTTTATGCAACTAATGCTTTTGAGTTCCAATCGTGCATGTAAATGTAGTTTCTTTTTCTATTTTGCATAGGCAAGATGCATCGGAACGCATTTATAGCTGCAAGTTCATATAGTACCATCAATAATGCAGATTATCTCGTCGTATTACACGTGACTAGATCTCGAACAGTAAACTGAACTACATGTTTCCTATTCAAAAAAGCATAAAATTATACAGTTAAATATATAGACGATGTATTCAAGTCTTACTGCGTTTCAAATTCTTAAAAAGGACTCTTTTTGATAATCTGCAATTTAAAATATTAGTGGCTAGCATTGCATGAAACAGAATATAAACACAAATAGTTGGATACGAGAAATCTCATCATATTTGTGTTTATCATATAAAGTCATGAAGACTTAGTTAATCTATGAAATAGAAATAGATGAGTACACGTATCAAATTTTGAAATGTACAGAACATTCATTCAAAAACGGTATTACAACAATATTATTTTGTTACAAGTCACTACCATCACTTTTTTTTCACGAAATCAATTTCACTCTTGTATAGCACATACGTTACACGTTGCAATTTAAATTTCAAAATAAATAAAATTTAAATGTTAAGCAAAAATGTTCACTTAAATTCAAACATGAAGTTCAAAGTTAGTTTCCATGTAAACCTATTAGAGATACAAACAGATAAGAAGTAGAAGAAACAAAAGAATCTAGATGTAGCTCAGACACAATGGTAGAGTTGCTTTCAAACACAACTTGAAACAGAACTGCGTCTGAATGTGGCTAAAACCAATTTAAAATAGCGTCTAAATGCGGTCCGAATACAAAATGCGCATTCAGACACTATTGACATCGTGCATTTAGATGCCTCCATGTGCAACAAATATTTTATCTGGATTGGTTATGAACGCATTTACAATACATTTAATGTTTGTGTTAAAATCTACAGTTTTTTCTGCTTCTTCATATACGAATTCTTACACCAAAAAGAGTCATGTGTGATAGAAGAAACAAAATGTATATAATCGCCTACAAAATACTCAATTCTTTAAATTTATTTTCTTTAAGTTCTACTCATTTTTTTGAAAAGTAAATTTCATAAAATTTATCTTCACCTCGCTATGATTAAAAATTTCATTCAAAGTAAAAAATAAAAATAAAAAATAATTACTTAATTTGAATTTAAAAAGACAAAAAAGTTAATATGCTGCATACATTCAGCATTTATTGAATAAGCAATTAATTATCGGAAAAGCCGTTTTTCTCGTATTCTGTGATCCAAAGACTATAATTATTATTTTTATAAAGTTAACCATATGTAACCGATGTCATGTATGGAATTTTAAGTGACACTGATAAATTAAAAAAATGAAAATATTTCCAAGTTTATATAATTTAATGAAGTAATTGCTATAAATTTTCGCTTGTCTCTGATCGTTAACGTCGATGTATCAGTTATGAGAATAAACTGAACTATTTTCTATAATTTCCTGTATTCCACTATCACTCTTATCGATATTGAGTGCACTGAAACACTGATAAAAGAGAAACGCACCGACTTTACTGATATGAATTTACTTTGAGAGTGACAATAGATTTTGAACTCGTAACTTCCTTGCTTTCGTCTTATACAATATTTAACATTCTTCAAGCAGAAAATCAAAAAATTCCATAGGCGACAAAAAAAGTCAGATTAAGATAAAAATCTATTAATTGTGAGAAAGAAAACTGTCGTGTATTGTATCTACTAGCACTTGATGGTGTAATGGATTAAGTCGAAGGTGAGTCTATACTGTGATATTTCAATAGCTTTTTGAAATTTTTTTTCATAAAAACAAATAGAAAAGTATTGAAATAGTTGAAACAATAGTTGAAAGTCAGAATATTGGACCCCATTATGCGTTTGATTTCAGTGGTTCTTGAATTTCTTTTATGCCAATAAGCAAGCCCGTCACTCTCTCGGGAAGACTTCTTAAATCTGTTCGACAATTGGGACATTTCTTTTGTTCCTCAAATGATCGTTTCAAACAGTCATAATGAAAAATATGACCCCATTTTGTAATGCAAGCTTTCGGAGTATGATCTACGATTTCAACAATTAATTCAAGACATATTGAACATTCCTCATAATAAATTGTGACTGGTATATCTTTTCTTAGACCAACAGTCAGCTTATACAATTTACTCAATTCATTTGGTTTTCCAACGATTTTCTCCCATATATAGCCCATAAAGGTTGTAAATTTTGTCTTGTAGTATTGATACCAGTCTTTTTCAAGAGTCAATGTTTTTTCGTCTATTTGATCCATCTGAAGCAGCATTCTTTGCATAAACTTTGTCCGCTTTTTCATTTGTTTCTGTCGAATGTTTTCATTAGTTTCATCTTCATCGCTGTTGCTATCAGAATCAGCCAATACATCATCTGTATCCATATCGCCAAAAATGACATTGTTTACTTTCCTTAATATAGCTACAATTTCGGTATGTTGTTTGTTGGCTTCGATACATCGTTCACGAGTCATATTTGGTTGTTTACAATTTGTAAATACAATCGTACAGCGTGAAAATGCTTTTTCACCAAGTAATGCTTCGAGACTTTGTATATAAACTAATGTATCCTGACTCATTTGAGAAAAACGAATGACAAGAAATATCCAGTTATATCCAATGGATGAATAACATATTAATTCACGAAAAAATAAAAGAAATGATTGTGTATTCTGATGAAAACGAACATCACCATATCCAACTGTATCTACGTATACAATTTTATTCCTTTGATCAACATAATTTGAAATAGATGATGTTGTACCAATTATACTATCTATAGTACCAACACCAGCTGGAGTTTCCAACAATGATTTCTCCACACTACGATTATAGCAGCAGTTAATCATTTTGGATTTACCTAGTTAGCACCAAGTAAATATGAGATCATAATCTTTTTTAGATTCAAAGAAAACCTTACCCACTCCTGTTGGACCCAAAAACAAAAATCTCTTTAAGACAGTTGCTGTTGTTCCGTCAGGTGTAGCAGCAGTTACAGTTGCCATTTTAGCAATAAAATATATGAAGAACTAAATGTGTTGCTTTTATTCAGTATTTGCAAAAGTAAGTATCAGTATATCTGTTTAGAAAATGTTTTATTTATTCTGTAATTCTAAAGAAGAAGAGATATCAAACAAGTGAGATAATATCAATTTGGCTTTTTCTTCTCATTGAGTTGACGACAGAGAGAGCAACCGATATGATACGTAAAACTATGTATCATTTTTGCTTTTCATGTTGTTTTCGTTGCTGACAGAGGAGAGAACGAATATAATTCGATAAGAAGCTTCAAACCTAATATATCGTTATCATCGACGAACGTTTCATGATATTTATGAGAACACAGATAGAAAAAAAATATGGAGAATCCAAAGTTTAAAACAATTCTTTATCAAAAATAATTTAAAAGCGATACAAATGATATTCCAAGATTAAGTAAGAATTTTCCTCTTCTGCTAGAAGACAAGAGTAATGACATGTTAGTTAGTTGCGTAACCAAAATTAGGTTAGTCCAGATTAAGTGTCGGGGTGGAGGTGGGGGTGTGAATGTGGCTGTGCGTGTGGATGTAAGGGTATAGGTGTGAGCGTGGATGTGGATTCTTCTACTCCTAGAGACACAAACACCTACACCCACCCACATCCTCAACCCACACTCACATCCATCCACGCCCTGGATAAGATCATTCAATAGGTCTCTCACATGGAAAGAGATTTTCTTTGTAAGATAGAGTGGGACTCATTGTATGGCTGCAAATGCGGTGAATTAGTTAGTGCAGTACATTTGTGGCTTGGCAAGAGCGTGAATAAGCGATTGAACACATTAATTAGTCACGAACATATGAAACGAATTCATAACTATTACTAATCATGATTTATTGACTTTATTCGTTTCGACAGGCATGATTTCAAATATTCATTATTAGTTTGATCAAGTTATTGTACAACTGGTCTTCAAATAAAAATAAAAGTATTTGTCATTTTAGTATGTTTGATTTAAACTTTTTTTGTCATGTTTGATTAATCTAGATACAACGATTTATTATGTAAAACATTCTTTCTTAAAATAAATGTAAATAATTTTGAAATACTTAATCGATTGGGTTTTAATTTTAATTGAAAATTTCTGCTGACTGATTGGATCTTAACTCGAAAAAAGAGAAGGGTGTGGGTATCGTCGGTTTTTTTTGAATCACATTCACACCCACATCCACACCCTAGTTATCTCAATGTGTAAAAAAAAAGCCCATCAAAGAGACTGTAGGCAATTCTATAGATCTATTTTATGTCAAAAGGATATCTTGATGATTAGTTCAGGATGTTTTCTGAAGTTCAGAAATCAGACTGTAATAGTTCTTGAAAGTCAACTCATGGAATTGCACAATCAAACAATCAGCTTCAACTTCTTTCGATCAAATAGATTTTCAAAGATATTATTTAGTCAATCTTTTATTTAATTCGATCAAGTTGACATTGATATAGAAAACAACAGTATCATCAATGACATCAAGACTATGTGTTCGAAAAAAAGTTAATCAGATGTTTCATTTATTCCCCAGTAATCTGTAGTTGAATTACCAAATAATCTGTACAATGTTTGATTGACGATAGGATTCGAACACATCCAATCAATACTAATTAAATTTTCTTTCAAACTACATGTATAATTTATCGTGTCTAAATCTAAATTCAATTCCTGTTGATACAATAATTGAACGATAATCTGATCTGTACATGTTGTTGATTGAAATCCATCTTTTTTAGTATACGATTGTACACCCGTAACATGAGTTAAACCTTTCATTTCGATTAATTTTGTACGAATTTGTTCAGATTGAAACCATTTTTGAGTTTGTTGTGCTGTGTACATTGGTGAATTGTAATCTAAATCTCCATTCAATAGTAATACACCACTTTTGTTCGATCGAAATATTTGTGGATTAACTTGAAATTGTCCCCAATAACGAGGATTTTTCGTATATAAAATATCAGTAAATACGGATGGAATAGTATAATTGTATTTTGATTGCTGTATTTCACGACACACTGGCATTGGACCTGTTGGTGCTAAATAAAATTCATTGGTAATACCACTATTGATGCAAAAATCATTGAAAAAACTAGCATTTGTTTTGAAATTTTCATCTAATGTGAAACCAACAAAATCACTCCAAATTGTTGTTATACTTAAAACATTTCCATCATCTGGATATACACTAGGTGGATCGACTAATTTTGGTGTTAACGATTGTTCTGCCAAGGCAATTAGAATTGGCAATGTTCGAGATAAAACTCGTTGATCTTCGACTGAACAACGATATAGACGTGCAATAAGTACTGCAGCAAGTGGACGAATAGAAATAAGTTCAATACTTTGACTAGCAATAATAGTAAATAAATTCCAATTATTCAATCCTAAATTAGTCGTGCACATAGGATTTGTCAAATTAGTCAAGAAAAGCATTTGTAATGTTAATGTAGCAGTTATAATATCTTCATCAGTACCAGTAACATGTTTAAAAGTCGTTGCACAGAATATATCATTTTGACATTTAGATAAATATAAATAAAATCGATTATTGATTGATTTGATTTGATTTTGAAAGACATCCGATTTTTTTATCGACATTATTCCATCGAGAATTATTCCATTGATAGGTTGTAATTGAGAATTGATCGATTGAATTGATAGATAATATTGAATAATGCCTGTACCTTATTTTAAAAGAAATATGAATCATCAACCCTGTCATATCATATACACTAGCGGTGAATCAAAACTTTATTGAAAACGATTCTGTTTTCTTAGTTAATATGTGTTTGATTATAAGAGAAGATTTCCACAATGTTGCAAAAAATCAAAGAGAAATAAAATTTGATTGCTAAAATTCTGATAACTTTAGTAGAAAGTCGCAATCGAATATTTTTAAATGATAAACTCAGTAATCATTCGAACATATAAAGGAATCTACAAAATTTGATAAGATTTTAGTTGAATCAACCTGTTGCTCTGAATAGATTTGATAACCAAATATAAACTGAAAGATCAGATTGCCTAAGAAAAATTGAACATTCTTTAGGACATGAATTTTCATGAAAATCAATAAAAAAATTAAGAAATTGAGTAAATTTTATTTGACGGACAGAATTTAAATAACGAGATATCATCGAAATATTAAAATACAACTGCTTCTCATACACTCTGTTATAACTATTAGGAAATTCTGTCGTGTAGCTTGTCTCTCAAAGTGCAAAGAATTTCGTTCAATAGAAAATTTTTCTCTTCTTATTTTGATCAGAACAATCTACTATAAACAGATTTGTGTATAATGTTTCGTCGACTGTCAGTTTATACCTTGACTTAATCCATAGATATAAGTCGATGTCGGAGATAATGGTTGTGATTGATTGATTGAATATTGAACTTGATATTGTAAATCTTGTGCAATATTTTGATTTGTCATAGCATTGATTATTTTTAATGATTCATTGACAGAAGTAGGTACAGTTGTTTGAATCAATTCTTTAGCACAATCAATCCATGTTGTTGCTGTATAACAATGAATCGATGGTTCACTCAAACCTGCTCCTCTATATTGGAATAGATACATTATTGGATGTGTTTGAGGATATGTTTGATGATATTTATTTAAAATAATTTGTTTCAACATCGATACACCAAACGTTTCCATTCCGTATTGTGAACCACCACCACCATTTAAAAGCCAATAGTTGATAATGTGTTTAACGGTGGAAGTATTTCGTGGTGGAAAATCAGAGAAAAATAAACGTTTCATATGTAGATCAGTCAGTGGAATTGACTTTGTTGAATTATAGTAGAAACCATCGAAAGTATTCGGATTGAATTCATTCCATTCAAGTGGACTTGTCAAATACATACATTCAGCTTGAATAGTCATATTATTCTCTATTGTTTTATTAAACGACCCATCATTGAATGGACAGGAATACCAAGCTAAAGTAATTGAATATAAATTCAAAATGAAGAATAATTGTAGTCGTTTAGTCATCATGTCGATTTTGCCTTGTTCGTAGTTTGTCAACGTATGAATAAATATAAGAAATGAATTTCTCTTCGTCAATAGAATAGCAAGTATCTGCACGTTCTGCGTTCTATTACTTCGAACTATTTATCTTTTGAGAAGCGTACACGTTTGAAAAATATGACAAAAGAATCAACAATTGTCATTACAACAAAGATAAATATTATGATATCACTCACATAAGGAGCCAATGATAAGTTGCTCACATTTACTTGACTCCTACGTATTTCTCGAGTTTACATCAACCCTGATCAAGGATTAAAAAGATAAGATTTGGTGCAGTATTCAAATAAAATGCGATTTCGTGTCCTTGAAGATCTAATCTACAACAGATCTTATGCACTATTACACATATATTAATCAACTCACAAACAATGATATTCATTATGTTTTGAAAATTATAACTTGATCAATTTTGCAAAAAAAAACTCTAGAAAATCTCACCCCTATTACTCTCAATTGCTAAAGTCGGTATGAGAGAGTCGGAAAACTTCGACTTAAAACTTACACTCACTATTTTCTTCAAAAATATATGCAAGTTCCACAAAATCAATCCGAAATACCATCAACAAAATGTTCAGCGAAAACTCACCTGATTGGTCAGTTGCTTGTCAATCAAATTGTGATATATCGAAAACCTCAAATGAATAACTATTTCTGTTCTTAAGATATTAATACAACACGCGTGTTCAATATTACATGAAAATATTTACAGCCGGATTCATAAGAAATAGTTCTTAAGTTGTGTTTCAATTAGTTTAAGAGATTTTTTTTGTACCTGATGAAAATGTCTTTTTTTCCAAAAAAAAAATTTCAAAATGAATGTTTTTCAAAAAGTTACTTTGCCAGGTCAAACAATCAAATCTATCATAATTCATATCCAATCTTTGTAAAATTTACATCAAGTCTTGCAGAGACTACCATGATTATTCGTACGTTTTCCATGAGATTTCGTTTGATCTGCAAGATCTTGTGTCTGATCTTTTGACCTGAGTCGATTTATTGAATCTACCCAGATCGAAAAATCTGACGGTAAGATCTTACAAGATCATATCCTCTACTCTTATATGATCTTATAAGATCAGATGAAAAAGCGTACCGAAAATCGTCGTTCCTGAAATCTTAAGTTACTTCGTGTTACAGGATTCTTGCAAGATCTGGCTACCTTATAAGATATCACAGTAATATTATAGAAAATCGTAAGATTTTGCAGGCATCTTATTCTATGATTTACTGTATGATTTCAGGGACGACGATTTTTTGTACGATTTCGTCTGATCATAAAAGGTCTTCACGTCTGATTTTTTGATCTGGATACCGATTAATAATAATAGTTTTTCTGATTCATACTAGATGATAATGCTTAATCATAGTCTTCGTCGTCAGTGGTTTGTTCTCTTTTGAATTTTCCACTAAATCTTGACAGGTGACCATATCGTAATTTTCCACAATTTTGACATCTTTTTATTGATTCTTCATTATTAATCAAATACTCTTCGCATTCCCAATAATTTTCATTTGTACTAATTGGATTTTCCAAATTGAACACGAGAAGAAAACATTTTTCGTTCTCCATTTAGAAATACAAGACTGATTTAAACATTCTGTCTTTGCCAATTTCGATTATCAAGCAAGATATTCAAATTCATAAGTGTATTTATTTATCATCTTTTTCTTCCTTTTGTTTAATTAGTAAAATGGCATATGGTGTCATTTTGTATGTTCTCAGCTTTGTGGATTAAAATAAGAAAAGTGAAATTGCGTCAAAAGAATAAAATCAAGATTTCCTAATCAATATTAATTTTTTTGTTTACATAAAAAAAACAGCACACAGCTAAACTTCATATTATTTCAATGCTTGATTCATTCAAATACTAACGATAAAAACAACTTTCATATTTGAATGAATCGTAAATTTCTTCTATAGATTTTGTAATTTTTGTTGCTATATCCCGAGAGAATCATCATAACAAATAGGACGATCAAATTGTTTTCTCGTATCGAGACGTTCTTGAGTATAATGACAATGAAATATATGCTTAATTTATTTGTTCAAGTAGATTGAAACTGTTCTATAAGACTAACTCATATTAGTCTACATTAAAAAAATTTCCCATTGGTGTCAACAATTAATTATTAAAGAATAAGAACTGAGATCAGCAAATTGTACTTTTTTTTGTGATACAGATAGATCCGTTTTCTGTATTGTATAGTCTCATATTTCCAAGATAAAAATTATCTTCTTTTCTAAATTAAACAAGATCGATTTTTTTTCTGTTTAACACTTTTGTCTCATTTTATCCTTGCTTTTTGCATTGGTTCAATCAACAGTTTGCATTCCATACTAGAAACAACTCAAGTAGTTGAATCACTAGAAAAGAGAAAAGGACGGACTGATGTAAACAAAAACAAATAGTAAATGAACGGAGTTCACATAAAAAAACGATATATAGAATGAAGAGTGAACGAATAATCATACCAAAAGTTCGTCAAGAATAAATGTTTGCATTCATTTTTCTTCTTTATCAATGACAGCAGATGAATATCTATATTTGCGTTTTTTTTTGCTACATTATCACCAAATAATAATGATAAAGTGCATACTTTTTCTTTTCTTTTTCAATTTCTTCTTATGGACATAGTTTTTGTTTTGTTTCGCAATTCACTTTATTCTCTTGATTTGATCATGATTTTGTTTGTTAGAAATTTTTATTTAACGTTGACATTAGAGATGTAGCCATGCTGAGGATTAGAAAAATAATTTCACACAATTAACTTAATTGAATACGCAGTCTTCGTTGCAAAGTTTCGAGACAATTTGTTTCTTTACTTATTGACTTTTTCAATGCAAGTAGCGAGAAGCAAAAGAAGTAAGTTAGCATCAGAATTTCATCTTCTTTTGAAATATATGTTCAGAATATTTATCTACCTTTAGGTTGAGTAGCTTTGAGCATATGTTGCTAAAGAAGATCTTTAATTCGGTTTATTCAGCAACAGATTCACATGAATTCCATAGCGCATACAACATTCATTGGTATAGTTTTTTTTATCGATAATGAAAAAAAAACAACGAATAAATGGAGTCATAATTGAAACCGTCGTCGACATTTACATTCTAGATGCTGATCAACACGTATGATCGATTTATAAAAACGCAAAAATAGTCATATAGTCATTGAAAAACAATGTTGATGAAATGAAATTGTACGTTTATTGAACATTACACCATCGTTGGGTCTGATGCTGATCGGTCGTATTGACAGGCTTTGGCTAAAACAAAATAGAGCATGATATAGCAATGCCTATATTCTCTAGTTGATTCTATTTGCGAAGAAAACACGATTGTACTAGGAAAGGAAGTTTATCGAATTTTTACTCTGCTCTTCATTTAGAAACATCCTAATCTTTATTGTTCTTATTTGCTTATTATTTTCAAGAAATAATCATATCTAAACTCGATTCGTCTGCCAGGTTATAGGTATTGTATTCTTTATCATTGAAAATGACGTACTCTCAACGTTTGCTGAGGAAAGGTAGTTTTTAAGCGAAGCATGTTAAGGGAAATAATTCAAGTGTGTAAATCTTCTTCGATCTTCAATGAATAAATGTATCATTAACACTGACACTTCTGTATAATCTTGCGACATTTTTACCTTATAATGACTGCACCATGAGCGATGATTACTCTTGCCTTCACGTGAAATGATTCTGTAATCGGCTTGACATTCCCAACAAAACTTATGGTGGCAGCGACGACATTTCATCTCATTACATCCGGCATTCTTCTCAATATACCATCGACACTGTGGACATCTTTTAGTGTTTTGGTCAAGCCATGCACAAGTACCATCATCAGGTAATTGACTTTGTTGAAGATCATATTCGGCACATGTTATACCCGTATGCCAGATGGTTCGATGTGTAAAACATGTTCGTAGTTGACATTTTATACATATAACTTCGGGACTCGAAAATCCTTCGAGATCATGCAATTGACCGGAACCACATTCATGTGCACACCAAACAAATTCGGTCATTTGTTCAAGACGTCGATAGATCAAATTTTTGTCGTATTTTTCAAATACTATATGACTTTTGCCTGTGGCGAGAAGAATACCTCGAATTGCATAAAAGTCGAAAGTTGCATTGCAATTTTGTTCGGGACATATGAGTTGTTCATCGTAAATACTCGTATTTTCGACAAGAAATTTTGTGTTTTCGTATACGCATGCATCGCACACGGTTCGTTCAAGATGACGACATGCCTCACTGTAGTTCCCTATGAATTCACTATATGGTTTGTCCATTGAACATACAGCACATTCTCGAGTGATCTGTGACAATGATATTCTATTGTTAAGCTGATCATCATTTAGTTGTAACATTTGAGACTCAAGTATTGCTGAAGGTGGTTTTAATTGTTGTTGATTTAGCGGTGGCTGTGGCAAAGACGTTTCCGAAAACGTGTTAACTAAAGAAGAAGACTGTATATACTATTTGTATGAAAATTTTGACTATCTAATTTTAGGAAAAGCATTCTCAACTGTAATCAGCATGGTTAGTTTTAATGAATCAGGCGCTGATTCAGAATTCTTTTGGAATTATGAAGATACTTGAAATTTTTTTCCATTTCCATTTTTTATATTTTTCTGGGCTATTGCGTATCGATCAATCAGATTGACTCTATCTAAATAATGATAGCGAAAAAGTTGCCGTGATTTATCTTAACTTGTAATTTGAAGTTTTCATGTTTGTAATGAGTGCGTCACCGTAGTGAAGTCAACAATTAAAAAAAATTAGATAGTTTGATATACTAACTTTATCATTTTTTTTTTCTTTTGCTGTTTGATTGGATTTTTGAACTATTCACGAACAAACTACAAGGGACATGCATGATATTTGTTGGAAGTTAGGTGTTAGAAGCAGATCAACTTTCTATTTGGAGTTGTTCGTTATCAATGACATTCGACAACAGCTGTTCAATTGAAACCTCGGGATCCTATATGATCATCAAGCTTTATCACAACTCACTTTGGCAAGATCGATTGACATCAGCAGCATGATTCGATTGTCGGTTTGACGATGAGAAGACGTCAAAAGCTTCAGTGAATGGTAACTTTTGCTGGCAGTTTTGTGTCACCATTATGACAGTAAATTATTGGATTCAGGTCGTATACTTGTTCGTGATTATTTCTATTCTGTGGCAATGAAATACTTTATATATTGCTCAAAATGCAGCACATTACGTATGTCTATGATTCACATTGCTTGAATAATTTTGCTTTATTCTTTTTTTTCTCTGTAGAGTTGAAGGCGACGTTTAACATTAGCATCATTCACGAGTATGAATCATGAAAGAGATGAGTCACAGTCCCCATTAGATTCGGTGAAGAAACAATCATACACAAGACTGAAACAAACAGTAACTGATAAAATAATATTTTTGCTCAGAGCATAAGCATATTTGCTCATCATTTTCACCCTTTTCGAGAAGCATTCTACTGTATATGTTCGATTCTTCATTTTGTAAGATAGCAGCTCTTGTATTTCGCATCGATAAGAGCGGACGCAAAAACAATGACAGCACATAGTACTCAAATAAACACGTTTTATTCATAAATGATTTTGCTTCGTATAACTCTAATTCGCTGAGGTTCTTCATCGGCGATGACTTTTTCGAACCACTTGAAGATTTTGCTGTGACAGATAAAAATAACATTGAAGGACTCGTATCGAGTCATTTACCGGGTCGAAAACGTTTTTTTGTAATATCAAATCATAATCTGTTTTATCAATTAGTGTGAAACAAAAAATCTGTATCAAAACAAGAAAGAACAGAATGCAACCATTGAGATATCATTTCCAAACTTACCTCTTGTCGCTTTCAGCATGGATCCTGCAAGACTTCTGAAGGTGTGGGTGTGAGTATGGTCTTTTTTAACACCAACATTCACACCCTTTTCAGTTCGATAGTCGCCGCATAATGCCAAGAAATTTGTTATTGATCAAATGTGTGAACACAAATAAAATTGTATTGACGAAAACTAATGCTGAAATGTCACCATCGACAGACAATTTTTTGTTATTTTGTAATGTATATGCTACCTCATGAATTCAAAAGACTTCTTAAGATCCTCAAAGACCATCTACTATTGGCAAAAAAAAAGATATAGATTGTATTGTTTCTCTGAATTGAAATGATATGCCTTTGTTTTTCAATTTCGAATGCAATCAAATAGACCATAGTGTGACGTGAATATAGTTCAGTCTGTGATGCGTCCATACATATCTCATTCCATAGAGATTCGTACATGTATATACAATATTACCATGTACTTTCACGCGCTTTTCTCATAGTTGTGAATAACTGCAAAAATTCAAAAACTATTGAGAATTCACTACATCTATATTTTGGAATTGAATCATTTTGATCTCTATAAAAATATCCTTAAAAAATGTATTTCTCATTAAAATCATATCTCGCTATAGTGCAAATGGTACTCAGTTTCATATAATTCATTTTAATATATCAATAATTTTTAGTTGCAACAAATTATCAATATAGAACGTTTAGAGTTTGTATTAAAGAATCAATAATAAGAGTGGGGACAATATATGAAACTTTCAATAAAATCGTCCATTTGTTTATAGGCTATATTATATATTTGAAAAGTTCTTAAAGGAATTTCATGTGACCATATAATATTTTCTTAATTCGATTCAACTAAAAAAGAAAGTAAAAATACATGTAATGTTATCATACAAATATCGATTGAAAGTAAAATATCGAACAGCAAAACCAAAAGCAAGATGAACTAAACAACGAACAAAGAAATTATACGAATATTTTTTTTAATCGTCAAATAATGGCAACAAAATTTTCAACTGGAACATAAAAATAAAATTCAAGACAATTATAATAAAATGAAGCATACCATAAATATCATTGATGTTTTGTTCCAAAGATATTTATTTTACAGTAAAAGACATTTTCTTATGAGTATTATAACACAATGCCATTTTTTCAAGATTATTTTTATCCGAGATTTGTCTTGAGAAGTAGTAGATCAAAAGGACAATCACTAAGCAACATTTTTCAAGGAATAACTATCACCGTGACCGTAGTTTATTTCTAATTCGTTAAGACTATTAACATTAGTTTTCTTTTCGTCCATATTTTACTTTCTTTAATTCACGTGCTGTTCGTACGCCTTAACAATTCTTGTAATTGCGTCGTTCTATCTTTCTCTCTTTTTCTTTCTGAATAAATATAGAAGAAAATATTGTATCTCTCTATCAAACCAATAACAAGCACATAAATGAACGAGATCACTTTTACTACATTCTAAAATGACAATCATTATCTACTTAAGAAAAAAGCTGATCTTTTGGCATCGTATACTTACTTTTATTTTATAAACAGACGGTTTTAATTAACAAAACATGAGTAAGGAAGAATGTATTGATTTTTAACTTGAAAAATCCTATTTATCAGTAAAAAACGATTAATGATCAATTAATTATGGTCGACAGACAAACAGATGATGATTTTGCATCAGAATATTCAATAAATCAATGCTTTATGCAAGTAACTGTTCTCAATAGAAACGAGTATGTAACAATTGACTTTTCAGGTCAGTTTTATTTCGATCACTAAAAAAAAGCTTTGTACTTATTCATCTTGACATTTTTTCTAGCAGTAAGATGTGTTAGATTCAGTCCGATTTCGTTTAAAAACATCATATGTTGATGAACAATATGGTGATTATAGGCAATTTTTCAAACTTGTTTCGTTTTCAATAAAATAATTGAAAATTGTTGTTTTATTTTAGTATAGAACATATTATTAAACTTCAGGTACATATGACAAAAAGATATCGTTATCGGTAGGAATAATTTCCAGCAAACTGACGGTGTAGGTGGGTGTGGTCTTTTCTAACACCCACATCCAGGCTTAAAACATTGATATTAGTAAAGTCAATAAAGGCAACTCCATTGTAATACCAGACAAAGAATCATATACTCAAAAAGATGAACAAATTACTCAAAAGAAAATCAACTTCATATTTTAACTAATAAAAACTTCATCAAAAACGTGAGAACGAATTAAATAAATATAATTACTCATTATTTAAGGGAGATGTAATAGACCAGAAGCTTCACTCCCAACTCCAATCTAAATGTTCATCATTTTCAATCTTTTATGAACTTCCTAAAACACATAAAACCGGATATCCTATACGTCCAATTTTATCTACAATAGACTGCTATTAAAATCAATTAGCGAAATATTTAGCAAAATCTATTAGGGATTCTCGTCCTCGAGTTGATTCATTCGTGAAAGACTCTGAACTTTGTAAAATAATTAAAAAATGCACTATTATATCAACAAAAATCACATATTATATGTAGTTTCGATGCAGAAATCTTATATACAAAAGTGTCAGTACATGCGACAATGTTACATTAGATGTTATGTATTAACTAACTAAATTAACAAATGTTCAGTTTAATCGAGATCAGAAGAAAAAAAAATTAGAATTATTAGTATGTGATGCACCTTTTCGATTTCAAGATAACATCTTTAAGCATGTTGATGGCATTGCTATGGACAACTCCTTAGAATCTATGTTAACTGACTTATGGATGCAACAAATTGAACAAAAATTAAATAAATTTAGTGCAAACAAGCCTACTATTTGGCTAAGATATGTAGAGTAATACTTATTGCCTATTTGCTATCCCTAACGTTAAAATTTTTGAATTTCATTCACGTATTAACAAATGGCACAAAATATTTGTTATTCATATTTATCGGATTTGTTCAACAAAAATGATAATAAGCAACAAATTAAATCTATTAAAAGAAACACTTCAAATGAACGGATGCCTCCTCATATAATAAAAAAAAGGTATTTCAGAAGGAGAAGTAATTATTCGAAAGTCTTCTCAAACAGAAACGAAAACAACCGATATAGATACCAACGTCATATTTTTTACTATCGGATACTATGGACATGAATCTCTTATATTTGATGCTCGACTAAGACATGTATGTTGCAAACTTCTGCCTAATCTAAAGATTCATTTTGTCTTCAGAAAGCATCTAAGTTTGAAACGAATCTTTCTACCAATACTTAAAGAAAAAGACCAATTGAAAACTAAGAAAAAATTAATATGTTCAAGTTCATGCTCAGACTGCACCAAAGTATATATCGGAGAGATAAATACAATGAAATAAACTCAAATGACTGAACATCGTGCAAAAATAAAATCATTAGCTTCAGATTCAAAACTTGTTGAATATGTTCAACAATATAAACGTTAATTTGATTTCTCTAGAGCTGAAACCTTTGTATGGGAAACTGATTGGAGGAAAAGAACTATAAAAGAAAGTATTTTAACAAATAAGATCTTTGGTAATGCTATGAACGATACAAAACACACACTTCATGTCTTCGGATAAGTTTCCAATAACTCTTACACATCTAATAAGTTATGATGCTCAGTAAAACAAATATAGCTAATTCATTTTTCTTTCTTACTTCTTATTCTATTGTTCCATGAACTTTGTTTTGTTTCTGATATACAAATTTATTGTAATCTTTCATAGTGTCATTTCTGATGATGTGTTCAGAAAAGAACAAGAAACCTTGAATGTATTAATTTCTCTTGGAAATAAAATGTTATTCGTAGCAATTATATATTCTATTTTTTATTTATTTCCTACTGCTCTCCCTCTTTTCGATTGATAAGGTCGCTTTGATTATTCGAACTGGAATAGGTGCTTCAAAGCATTCCTTTACACCCACTCCGACTAGAATATACCGAGTAAAAACTATCGATTAGTGAGATAGGAATATTATTATTTTTTATTTCCGTTTCGCAAATCGATAAATATAAGAAAAACTGATTCTTGTCTAGATATATTTACAAGAATTCATTTAATGCAACTAATGTCCTGTTCAATGGGAGATCATGAAGATAAAGATAGCATCACTAACAGTCATACTAGAAGATATTTTTCTGAAAAGTAATTGAAATTCACAATTATTAGTTCTGTTGATCACAGCATTTGAAATCCGCTCAGCTCTGTGCAAACTTATGGAAATAGAAAAAGTCTCCTCTCGGATTTAAAAGAAACAATATAACAATGAACATAAAAAATGTGCAAGAAATCTCTATTATAGCGACAGAAAGCGATAGAAAAATGAAATAGAAAATTTCTGATATAATATCAAGTGAGAAAATCATCATTAAAAGAATTTGCTTGTGTTCGTTTTCATTTCCAAGAATTAGTTTGACTTAAACAAAACCTTGTAATAAAAAAGTGATCATCCAGATTTTCATTATGAACGTTTCCTCGTGAGCATGTATATAAGAGGTTACCCAAAGAGATGAGAGGAAAGTAAAGAATTTCAATAATAAGTCATCGGGTGACCAAGTAATTAAAGAGATAAGCCATGTGACGTTGAGTTCCATCACACGGTAGACTAAAAGCATATATGAATCGTCGATAGACTGTAGGATAAATAATTACAAAAATTACCTAATTAACAATTAATCAATGTGAAAGTTAAAAGTTATTCACTCATTCTTTTCTATATAGTTTGCCAATTGCTGATCATTGTTTTTATTTTCTTCTCTTAGTTTTCAATTGTACGGAAACTTTAGATTCTGCACGATGATCGAAATGATTCATCGCTTTCTAATGTACTCCTAGACCTATCAACACTGCAACAGAATCCATTACAACTACGTGGAGCAGAGACATCGTTGTTCAGTGATACACATTGTCACATGCTGCGTCAGATCATTTTTAGAAGAGAAGACACAACAATGTCGTGTCGAGGAGGATGTGAGTGTTTATCGATATCTTGTCTTCATCAGAACGATCACATGGACACTCACACCCTGTTTTTTATGTGTTATAGAATGTGTTTTTGGTCAATCAACATTTGTTTTGTCATCTGTTGATGAATTGACCGAAGAAATTAAACCAAATATTCCAATTGAAGTAAGAGAATATATCTCGGAAGCAATTTCTCCAATAGAGCATAAAAAACTCTTTCGTTTTTTTAAACAAGATTCCAAACCATGCTCGAATCTCATCCAAATTTCGTATGAAAGTGAAATATACAAAAAATGAATCGATTATAAGAGATAGATAAACGAGAGAAATAACAATAAACAGAAAATATACGGTAAAAACAAGTAAAGACGAACAACTAACACCTAGACAGATATCAATGCATAGCAAACGTTGACTGTCCAATATATGATAACCATTTCACTAGTTACATGTGAGTTATATTCGCATTACTAACTGGTTGTGTGCACATCAATCAATCCATTTGAATCCATATCCATCTTGTTGGAGAAAAAAAATTATGTATAACGACCCTACCATATAAGTGAATAAATCTAGCAACATCTGAACCAGTATGAATTGTAGCTCAGAAAAAAGCTAGCAATTTTTTTTCTGTAAATGATACCATTGATTTTTGTCTATTTTCTATGCAACAGAAAGAATAACTTGTTGAGTTATCGTCACATCTAGTCATACATATCTTATTTTGTCTACCCACTTGTATTTAATGATTGTCAACTGTTATCATTGCGCAGTTCTCTTCAAGTTAGGATAACACCATCGGTTTCACATGTCTTTATTCTAAGAAATGAATCACGGCATGGGATGGTGCATATTTTTCTTCCAGAGAAACACACCAGTTTCATATTTTGTGAGTATCAAGTTTTTATATAGCTTATGTTAGTATTTTCCGGGAGCTTTAACTCGCTTTTCTACAAAACTTCAAATGGAAATTAAGAAAGTTTCGCAGAAATTTATGGTAATTTAGATCTACACAATACATTGTTTTCGTCTTGAAAAGTTCGGTTTTGAGTCGCCATATAGGTCTAAACCTCAGGGTGAGAATGAGTGTGAATGTGAAGGTCTCCTCGGCACTAAAATCAGCCCTCACATGCGCTTTTTCATAGCCGTCATTTGGATGAGACATGATAAGAGCTGCATTATTCGCTGTTATACCTTCCTTTTTTTTTATGATATTTTTAGTGGCAAGATAGCCATTTTGTCAGCTTATAGATAAGTTAACTATACTTATAAATGTTGCCTATCAAAAAGTCTAACTCGCATTAAAACAGTGTCCTTGATGCATTTTAAGTTTTTTCGCAAATTAATCGAGTATGAATTACGGAATGTTTTTATTAATGAGACTTCAAAAATGCTCTATATTTAAATAGTGATTCAATGCCTTCTGTTTTTATCATAAAAAAACAGTTAAATCATGCTCTTTTCATATATATTCTATTATCGGTAGGTAAATAATTACATGCACTTTCTACTGTCACATGTATTATAGATTTATCCTCTCTACTAAGAAAAAGAAGTATTTTATTACTCAAAATTGTCATAAAGCAACAGTAAAAAAAAACAGCACATGGTGTTGACTTTATCCTGTTTCATCTAACTGGTGACTACCAATAAAGCATCATACTGTCCAAGTTAGTGAAAAATAAGTGAAGACGGGCAACATGACTAGTCCGAAAAGTCTGCAATATCTTTCAGGTCTAGTCCAAAAACGGCCTCCATATCCATCAGAACTAGTTATCATAACAAGAAATGTTTTACAACCACGTCCGAACTAGTCCAGAACGTCCTTGAAACTCGTCACGTGTAGTTCGTTTGTCTATTCACTCCATCCAGACTAATCAGAAGAACAGAAAAAGAATAAAAAATGTAGACGAAAGGTGAATTCGAACATCCGATCTAACAGTATTTAATACTTGACGACTGTCCTGACGCCAGACTATGACTTTACAATATATTGACGTGAGTTTGAACAGCCCATACCCACACCCGATCTGCTATTTTCAGTTTATAAAGAAAACAAATAACTGTATTAAATTATATAAAATTCACTTAGCCATGGAATACTGGGACGATCACTAAATGGTCAACAATGACATTTCACAAGTTTCTTTTGCACTTTCATTTCTGATTCATTGAGATCATACATTAGATAGTTCCTCTTTGATTCAGAGCATCTTTCAAAGTTTTCATCTTTTCTGTTAAGATACTAGAATTAAAACGCGTGCACCTACCTATGCAATCTAAACGACTACTGATCGATTCAGAATCACTTCATACATATGTAATCGAGCATGCTGAGTATTGTGTCAATATTTGTTTTCATCGGGTTTTATTCTTGAGTTGGAAGTGTTTGTCTCATTTCTGAATCGAGTTTGGCATATCGTTTTGAGTGTATCCTAATAGTATGAACTCCAGCAATATAGAAATAAATCTCCCACAATTCTCATTCTACTCTTGCTACATTACGAAAATTGACTTTTTCATAAACAAGTCCTACAAACTCAAGGAAAATAAATATTGACACAATACTCAACATGCTTGATTATGTCTGTTTGAAGTGATTCTGAATCGATCAGTAGTCGTTTAGATTGCATAGGTAGGTACACATATTTTAATTCTGATATCTTGACAGAAAAGAAGAAAACTTTGAAAGGTGCTCTGAATCAAAGAGAATCGTCTAATGTATGATCCAATGAAAGTGCAATAGAGATTTGTGAAATGTCATTGTTCGAAAAAATTGTTGACCATTTAGTAACCATCCCAGCATTCCATGACCACGTGAATTTTATATAATTTAACGCAGTTATTTGTTTTCTTTATAAACTGAAAAGAGCAACCCTCTAGCTACTTTCTTTCTGTAATAATTCAACTTACAACCAAGTCCACTGTATTTTTGAATACGAAATAATCTAGTTTTAGAAATTATTGTGATTGCAAATTCAGAACATTATGAAATTTTTTAGCAACTCAATTTTCTCATGCTAAATCGTCCAACCTATTAATGTGGACAGACCAATAATGAAAAGAAAAAAAAATATAATGCAAAACCGTTCTACTTAAAATGTTAAATAGTTTTACTAAACAGTTATAAAGATACATTACAAAATAAAATAAAATCTTCATATGTTATATTAACGAAGGATGAAGTTTGCCAAATAGAGAGAGAAAAACGTGCATCTGCGTCTTCCGCTGTAAGTACCAGTTATAAATGTTATAAGTTCATCCTATAGTATCATACGAAAACACGTCTTTCCTTCCATGTTGAATAATTAAAAATTTTCTACTATGTTAAGACTACGAAAATTATACTGACATATGTATACGTTGTCACCGATATTAATTTATCTTGTTAGAATAGAAATTCGATTGAGTTCTTCAAAATCTACACTGAAGTCAAAGATATACAACACATTTGTTATATCTCCTCCTAGTTGCATGTGCATTTCTGTCATTTTTGCATTCTTTAAAACTCGAAATGCCAAAAAGTAGAAGAAAATAGTAAGTCTAGTGTTCATCACTGTACAAAAACTGGAAACTTATAATTTTAAAATTGATTATGTGTGTAAAATAAATTAAAAATAATTTATATATTTTTTGTATCATTATTTCATTGTATTTTAACTATACACTCGATTTGCTTTATTTAAGAATTAATTCAAATAATGCAAATATAGTTTCGTTTTAATTTTAAAATGAATCAATTCAATTTACAATTAAATATAGACTATGATACTAAAAAACATTAATTTGTTTTCAATTCAAATGATTAATAATTTATTTTTGTAATTAATATATTTTTTTTTGTTGTTATTAGTTTTTTCTAAACCTCTACGATCAAAAATTTTTTTAATTTAAGAAAAAAATCTAAAACAGACTTATTCAATCTGATGTACATAATTTTGTGCTCGAATAAATTTTTTTTATCCATATGTAAATTTTAAAAAAATTCTATTAAATGGTATTTACAAATGTTTAGAGAGATATAGAAGTAGGTTTTTCGGTCATGCGGTTCAATTGTCTAAACGACGAGCCAACATGACTAGAAAAAATACTCGACATTTAGCCCGTTGTCAGCTCACTTGGCTGAGAGAGTATTTACAGATGCGTTACTGAAATTTTGATGTTTGCAAGAATAAAGTACTTTTACAATAGATTATATAATTAATAATTAAATAATGGCCTAGTATCAACGAATATTAATTTATTGAGCAATCTATGGAATAGATCTGATAGAATCAATTTGAAGAAAAAACTACTACCTGCCGCTGTAATCAATTTACGCATCATAGGTATAGTGATGTAATAACTATCTGGGGAAAACTAGACATCAATTAGACAGTGATAGGATGTAACTGGTATAGCTATCAAAGATATTTTGTAGATAAAATATAAATCAACTTCTAATGAAACAGGTTTTTTCTCTAAACTTAATATAATGATTTGGTACAATGGTTCTTCACTAATATTCTTATCGCAACAATAGATTCAGACCTGTAGAACGGACTGCTGAAGATATTTAAACATACATTCACAGATAATAGAGAATAAAATCGAATCAACAAGTTGTTATATAGTATAATAATGTTTTTTTTTCTAATGTTTCTCGTATCTTCACAAAACTAGTTCGATTGATGAAAAGCACAAATGATTATGTTAGTGAAATTTAAAAAAAAACTCTAAAATCTCTGAATATTAATGTAGGAGTAGAGATAATCATTAATCAATCCCTCGATTTGGTTTTATTTCGTTAATCTTAACGTTCCTTTTTTCCAAGATGAGTAGATAATGTTGTTATTATTTTTATGTAAATGACTAAAATATATTTAGATAAAATAACTTGTTTGTCAACGTCATTTTTCAGTATATATCATTACAACTTCAATCAAAGATGATGGATAGAAAAGAAAACAAAGAAAGTATTACAATTATTTGGTTTGATTCCGATATTCATTCGCACAATCATGCCGAAAACATCAATGAACGATTATGTGAAAGAAATGATTATGTCCTATATTACAGCGACATTGAGCGTTGCATAAACTCTATTAAGTCAACTGAGAAAGACAAAATCTTCTTGATTACATCAAGTACTGATGCCTCTCAAATATTACCTCAGATCAATACTCTTCCACAAATCCATTCTATCTTCATATTTAATTTTGACAAAAATCAAAGCAAAGAGTTCAGTTTAGAGCATTCGAAATTCATTGGTATCTATACTGAACTAGATAATTTATACTCATCAATTCAAGAACAAATTGAACTTGATGATAAATTATTTCCAGTATTCAGTTTTTTTGATCAATCAGAATATTCAATACAAGATCTATCGAAACAAACGTCCAATTTATTTTGGTTTCAACTTATTAATAATATTATTTTACAATTACCACAAAATCAATTAGCTAAAAATGAAATGATCGATTTATGTCGTCAATATTATCAAGACTTCAAAATGATTGATGAATTTGAACATGAATACCGTTCCGAGAATGTTATTCAATGGTATTTAAAAGGATCATTCCCTTATAAAATGATAAAAAAAGCATTGCAAACAAAAGATATGGAACAATTGAATATATTGAGATATTTCATGAATGATCTTATACAAAGTTTTACACGACAACATCAAAATAGGATTCAATATGAAAAAGAAAATCTCATTATTTATCGAGGTATCAAATTATCAAATGAACAACTTAATGAATTTAGAAAAAATAAAGGAAAACTTCTTTTAATCCATGGATTTTTGACAGCAACTCGGTTTCGTTTAAATGAATTAAATTTTGCTAGAAAATCAATAAAACCAACGGATCTTGTTACTGCTGTGTTAGAAATCGAGTGTAACCCACAAGATTTTAACAAATATGTTATCTCCACAGACATAGATAAATATAATGAATTTTTCTTTGATTTAAGTGTTACATTTCATTTACACAATATTGAATTTCATGAAAATGTTTGGATTATTAAAATGAGTATTTCCAATGAAGGAAAAATTATTCTAGAGAAATATATTGAAGATACACGTCATCAAACTGAAAATCTAAGTATTGAAATTATATTCGGACGTCTCATGTTAGATATGGGTCTATGGGATCAATCACAAAAATATTTTGAACGTTTGTTAATCGATTCGAATGATATAGATGAAGCATGGATAGAACATAGTCTTGGTGAAATTCATCGTTTGAAAAACGAATGGATTATAGCACGTAAATACTACGATTGTGCTTATGATCGAATGATGGATCCGAAACAAATGCGTATCAAAGATTCAGCTCAAATACTTTCCGACATAGGAGAGATTCTCTTTGCAGAAGCAAAGTTCGAAGAAGCCATGGATTTTCATCAACGAGCATTAACAATTCGAAAAGAATATTATTCTCCTGATCATGTACATATCGCAACTAGTCTGCGTAACATTGGTGAGATTTTTCATAGACAAGACAAATATGATGAAGCATTTGTATATTTTCAAGAGGCACTTGCAATTTCGGAGAAATATTATAATTATTCCCATATTGATATTGCTAAGTGTTTGGTCTGTATTGGAGTGTATTTTCGTGAGCAAAATAATTACGATAAAGCTCTCGATTTTCATCGACGATCGATATCAATCTACGAAAAATACTATCCTTGTGGTCATGTATGTGTCATATTGACACTCAATACTATTGCAGATCTTCTTTATCGACAAGAGAAATATGATGAAGCTATTGATATTCATCATCGAGCACTAACTATGCAAAAGAAATGTCATCCATTTGATCGCATTAATCTCTCTCATAATTTGTGTACTATTGGTAATATTAACTGTGGACAAGAAAATTATAATTCTGCTTTAGAATTCTATCAACAAGCATTAACAATACAACAACAATATTATACTTCTGGTCATGTGGATATGATATGTCTTTTGAATAATATTGGTACTGCTTTTAATAGATTAGGAAAGTTTGATGATGCATTGAACTTTCATCATCAAGCACTTGCTATGCAAGAGAAATATTATCCATCTTTTCAAGCTAGTATTGCATTAACATTCAATCGCATCGGAGACGTTCTAAATAGTCAAGCAAAATACGAAGAAGCATTATACCATTATAAGCAAGCATTGATGATGCAAAAGAGTTACTATTCATTGGGTCATGCGAATATAGCTTCTACACTTCAAAACATAGGTGATGTTTTATCCCAACAAGAAAAATTTGATGAAGCTCTGGATTTCTATCAGCAAGCATTTGCAATGCTCGAAAAATGTTGTCCATATTCTCGTGATCACATCGCTTATAGTTTGATTCTTATTGATAATATTCTAAATAATCAAGAAAAGTTCGATGAAGCCATAGACCACTATCAGAAAGCATTGGATAATCAAAAGAATTACTATCACTCTGATCATTTCAATATTGCTGATGCATTTAACAACATCGGTAATGTACTTCGTCGTCAGGAGAAGTTTGATGAAGCGATGAAATTTCATAAAAAAGCATTAGAAATTCAAGAGAAAAATTATCCTTCAGGACATATTAACATTGCTACAACGTTCAATCATATCGGTTACGTACTGCAGGATGAAAGGAAGTATGATGAGGCGTATGAATTTTTTCAACAAGCCCATTCATTACTTGTAAAATTTGGAAACAGCTATCCATTGGATCAATTATATATTGCTAATAGTTTAAGCAATATTGGTAATATTCTATATTTACAAAATAAGAATCAAGAAGCTCTAGAATATCAACAACGTGCATTATCGATCAAAGAAAAATGTTTGCCATCTGATCATATCGAAATTGCTACTAGTTACATACAGATTAGTCGTTTGTTACGTAGTCAAGGTAAATATGCTGATGCATATGAGTTTCAACAACAAGCTCTAGCAATTCAAGAAAAATTCTATCCATCAAATCATCTAAATATAGCTGATAGGTTTAATGAAATCGCAAATATTTTCTTCGATCAAGAAAGATACGACGAAGCCATTAGTTTTTATCAACGAGTATTAGAAATAAGAGAGACATTCTATTCTTCTGATCATGATGCTATTGCTACTATGCTCAGTAACATTGGCGATACACTTCAAAAACAACGAAAATATGATGATGCACTCAATTTTCAAAAGCAAGCACTCACAATACGAGAAATCAATTGTCGTCCATCAAACCGTCTACATATTGCTAGAATAATTAACAATATTGGTATTATTCTTGGAGAACAAGAAAAGTACAATGAATCTTTTGATTACTATCAACAAGCACTACTAATCTGTGAAGAACTTAATTCATCTAATTATAACAATACGATTACTTGTCTTATTAATATTGCTAATTTACTTAGCGATCAAAACAAATATGATGAAGCACTCATCTATCAACAACGAGCATTAGCAATTCGAGAAGAACATCATTCATCAGATTATGAACAAATTGCAAATGATCTTACAAGTATCGGGCATTTTCGAGCACATCTAAAAGAGTATGATAAAGCTCTCGAAGTCTATCAACGAGTACTCTCCATCAGAGAACAATACTGTCCATCTGATCAAGTAGACATTGCTAATAGTCTACAACATATTAGTTATGTTTTAGAGCAGCAAACAAAGTACGATGAAGCCATCGAAATGAAGCAAAAAGCACTAAAAATCTATGAGAAATTGTATCCAAATGATCATGGTAGTACAGGCTCGTGTCTTAATTCAATTGGAAGTATTTTATGCCATCAAGAACAGTACGATAAAGCGTTTGAATTTCAAAAGCAAGCACTAGCAATCAGAAAGAAATGTAATCCATGTAGTCATGCGGATATTGGAAGAACTCTCGGTGATATGGGTAGCACAATGTATCTACAAGCTAGATATAATGAAGCTTTTGACTTCTATGAAAAAGCAATAGTACACTATGAAAAAGATTATCCTTCTCGCTTTGGGGACATGGCTACTACATTGGGTAATATTAGTTTAATTTTCAAAATGCGAAGAAATTACGACAAAGCTCTAGATATGCAACATCGAGCATTAAACATTCGGAAGGAAAACAGTCCATTTGATCACTTCATTATTGCTAAAAATCTTCACGAAATAGGTGACATACACTATCAGCAAGAAAACTATGACAATGCTCTTGATTTTTATCAACAAGCACTATCTATATTCGAAGAACATTGTCCAATGGATCATATTGAAATAGCTAAATGTCTACAATCAATGGCAGTTATTTGGAATGCAAAGTCTAATTTTGATCGTGCTATTGAATATTTTCAAAGATGTCTATGCATTAGAGAAACAAGTTTACCTATAAATAATCCTATGATTACTGATACTCTAATGTTTTTGGGTCAAATACAAAGAAATGGAAATTATCATGAACTCTCTTTGACATATGATATCAATTGCTGCTTGATCCGTATGAAATTTCTGCCAGGCGATCAAATAGGAATTGGTGAAAGTTGTGTTCGCATTGGTGAGACTTATGAACATCTCAATCAACCTAAATTGGCGCTTGTTTATTACAAACAAGCATTAGCTGCCTATGAGAATTGTTTACCCGACGGGCATGGATATCGATTGAATACGGAATTCAATATAGAGCGACTCTCACAAGAAACAACGATATAAGGAATTCGTTCAAAAAAAGCTAACACTACAAACAAAAATTCTTTTTTTTCGATTTCGAAGTTTTCATCTCTATGAAAGAAACTAGATTTTACTTTGTTTTGCGTTTTTCTCTCATACGGTATGTTTGATCGAGCTCAAATTTTTTGTGAGTACTTTCGTCAAATTGGGCTGAGTAACTTTTTTTTTCTTTTCAAAATGTTATTCCTCCGAAATTCGACAGCGTTTAAAAAATTAGTGCCATTGAAAAAAAACCATGTATGTTGAAGATGCTTCCGGTATTTTGCTTCTCTGAGCTCGGAGAATAGTATTTTTGAAAGAAAAAAAATCACACGCACTTCGATTTGATCTTAGGTGTCATAAAAAAAATTCCAGCTTGAAAAAATGAAATATAGAATTTTGTAGGATAGAAAACTTCCGGTCATTTTTGATCTTTGCGACCCTATATCTTCCCGAAGAAAGCATCCCACATCCTTTGAAATTTCATACTCTATGAAAAAAATATTTCACTTGCATGTTTATTCATTTGTTTAAAATAGTTGTTTATCTCTTGATTGATTTTCAATTGTTAAATCGAATTGGTTTAGGCATTAGACGACTTCACTTTCTATAAGAAAAGCAATTCAAAAAAAATCTAGCAATGTTTTTCATTTGTTACTCTGTATGGTAAGTATATTGTTGGTTAAAAAATTTTTGTCGACGCAGCATATCAAAAAACGTTAACTATAACATGATGTATTTTGAGAGTGTGTGGGTGTAGATCAGGATCTTTGTTCAACATCGACACTCACACCACGGGTGTGAGTTTCTTCTCTTTACCTACACCCGCATCCTAATGAGGAAAACTTCGGCTTGGTCCGAAGCTCCGATAACTTTTGCGGCCGATCTGAAAAATTATCAGAATCTCTGAGCGAAATCAAAAGCCTGTGTGAAAATTCCTTGGGGCTAAATTCCTGTAATCCAGTTATATCACATCGATAAAAGAGGATATGATCGGCTAGTTCTCGAGATCAACTATATCCTCATTTTATTAGAGGAAAGTAAAAAGAATCTATTGGCTTATTTGTTTCAGTAAATAAGAATCAATGGCAAAGCCAAGGGGCAAAGGGGTCTCAGCTCCCCAAGCCTAAAATCCTGACTCCACCGCCACTGATCAGAATGGGCGAAAGAAATGTGGTGCATACTCCTAAAATTGTGAGAATGATTATATAAAGCATATTGATTCAGATAAATATTAAAATATATTTATTTGAAAAAAAAACATTTAGAAACGAAGTTGGTGTAAGCCTTCTTTTCACAAATACTCACGTCCTCTCTCTCTCTCTCTCTCTCTCTCTCTCTTTTCTTTTCGTTCTAGATATATTTATATCTAAATATGTTTTTTTTTGTTATTCAAATACATGTATCTTGATATTTATCTTTATGCAATTGCTCTTACAATTTTAGGAATGTACGCCACCTTTAGTTTTGTAATTCTGATTGACTGAAACAGATCAGTCAATAGATTTTTTTTCTTTTTCGTTTATACGTGTATGACCAATTAAGCGAGTATCGTTTATTTCAGGAGTTACCATCCTCTGTTCACCTAGGTATTTATTTTATGTTGTTATTTATAAATGGAAAAAAACCCATCAGCGACACTTCGAAGGCATTCTTTCTTCATTTACTTATCAAGTTTTTTTCTCTATAAAAGAAAACAGCTACTCAGACGAATTCTCTGCAAAGAGGTCGCCTTCCCAAAAAAAGCAACAAAAATATGTGCATCAAACAAATTTTCATGGTCGCTATAAATGACTCATGTTATCTAAACAACGTGTTTCATTCTTATCAGAAAATGAGGAAGGCAGGGCAAACTTAGTGAACCTACTGAAAGACGAAGACTTGTCTGTTAAACACTTGTGATCCATCCGAAGATGATCATAATTGAATTTTCTTGCAACTTCTAAAACGATCCTTAATCGGTGATTTTCAATCTCAAGACAAGTATCAAACTTCATCTTTGTTAAAAACATACTTCCTAAAAAATAAACAATAATCTGTCTTTCTTTCAGATTTTATTACAAAATGGCTGCTATTACGGTATGATATTGAAATTGAAATGATCAATACTTTCTAAATGGCTTTTCTACGTAGACGAAACCAGAGTTTGCCGAATTCCGTCAATTATTCTCCAAAGCACGTTCAGTATTGGTCTTGACAGGCGCAGGAATTTCTGCAGAATCTGGCGTTCCAACATTTCGAGGGGCTGGTGGTCTCTGGCGACAATTCAATGCTACAGTTCGTTATTATTTTTATTCGAAACAATCTATTCGATGTAATACTTTGGATTGTTAGGATTTGGCTACGCCATCGGCTTTTGCTCAATCCCCATCACTTGTTTGGGAATTTTATCATTATCGACGAGAACTTGTTCGAACTAAAGAACCCAATAAAGTTTCTAAAATGACATTTTATTCGTCTATCGAATATATATGATTGATTCGTCTTTTAGGCTCATTTGGCATTGGTCGAAGCCGAAAAACGTTTTGAGAAAGAAGGAAAACGATTTTTTATCATAACTCAAAATGTCGATGGTCAGTAATTGTTTTTGTAAGAATAATATAGCCTTTTTTTTTTTATTTTGCTTTCTTTCAATTAGGACTTCATCGACGAGCAGGTTCTCGTAATCTTCTTGAAATACACGGTCAGTAAATATTTCAATGATTGATATTTTTTCTTTTCTTTGAATGAAATAGTTTTCTGAACAGGTAATCTTTTCACGACTCGATGTACATCGTGTGGTTTTATTGAAGAAAACAATGATAGTCCAATTTGTGAAGCTCTGCGAAATCGAGGGTAAACATGTTTCTATTTTTTTTTCTCACGACATTTGCGTAGATCATGATTAAAAATTTTTAGGTTACCAAATGAGAATGGTCCTGAGATAGCAGTGACAGATCTTCCTAGTTGTCGTCAATGTCGATCTCTTGTTCGTCCACATGTTGTCTGGTTTGGTGAAACACTCTGGCCTGATGTTTTAGAAAAAATCGACGAAGAAATCAATCGATGTGATCTATTCTTAGTTGTATGTCGATCTTTTTTTTCTGTTTAACTCGTTTCTACAGAATCAATTGAAGGTGGGAACATCATCAGTTGTCTATCCAGCTGCAGCCTATGCTTCGATTGTCGCAAAGTGTGGCATTCCCGTAGTTGAAATCAATATTGAAACGACTCCTTCTACTGCTGTATCGGCGTGAGTTCTTTTTTCTTGTTTAATATTTCGAACGTCTCTTTGTAGGTTTCATTTCGAAGGTGCTGCTGGCGAAATACTTCCAACACTATTGGCACCCATTACTGATGATATTTAATAGAATGGGAAACGACATTGAGCTGAATATAATAACTAAGATCAAGTGTTCTTTTTCGAAAGACTGAACCAATTTATCTTTTTCATAAAATAATCGAGAAAAAAATCAAATGTGATATTCTAAACCTTTTGTTATGTAATAAGCAGATGTCGGTGTGGATTTTCTCTTAATCCACACCCACAAATCTTAATTCATAGTGTAATATATTCTGTATCAATACGAAAAACGTAAAGTGTTTTGATCAGTGTCTCGTAGAAATACTTACGAACGTGACTATTGTGGACAAATGTACGTTTCAAAGGACCGAATTGCTTATTAGTCTGT